AGAGAGAGAGAGAGAGAGAGAGAGAGAGAGAGAGAGAGAGAGAGAGATAGATGTGAATACATGTTTGCATTAGAAGCTTGGGGGTGAAAAAGCATAAAGTGAGAGATAAAAACAGCTGCGTTTTGTAATGAAATTCATCACTTAAGTATGGTTGGAAAATATCAAACACACCGCGCTGCTTGCCTGGATATTGAACTTTGGGTGAAGGCTGAAGGGAACTCCATCTAAAGCTGCAGAGAGGGAAGGCGGGTAAGAGTTGAGTGAGTTGCCTGCTGGGAGAAATAAGCAATACGTTTCCTGTGTGTGTGCGGGGAGACTTGGAGCACCTGTGATCCCATGCATGCTGCCGTCAGCACCTTTGTCCGAGTTTTCCTTGCTTTTGAGGCTGTGGCGTCGCTGACTCAGTTTGTTTTGTGGCAGTGGGTGAGGGGGGTTGCTGCGGAAACAAATGGATAGGTATTTATGCCAACTGTCCTCTACTGTTGCGTTACAGAACATCATTCTCTCTTATTTTGACCTAGACTTTTAATGGAGAGAAACACACACGTCTGTTCTTGTCCTTTGAATGGGCTCTATTTGAACATCTTGTGTACCAGAGGAGCCACGACATGTCCCTGAATAAACAACGACAACCATCAACTTTGCCAATTATTCTCGAGACACTAAATAAGTGGCGCACCTGGGTCGAAGGGGCAGAAGAGCAGACGGCTGGTCCAATGGGATACTGCGGATGTCCAGGCTGACGCTGCGGGGCTTCGCTTGAGGCATGGGGCTGGAAAAAAGTCCCTTTCTGCACCACAACACGTAGCCGTGGACGTCTCTGGGGGGGAAAGGCACGTTAAATGACACGCGTACACACGAGTGTAAACACAAAGGAGGAACTCAATGCACATCCGAATGCAGACCACCGTGTTACGGGATTTAAGAATCGCTTTGATAAAAAAGGTGCAAGTCAAATGTTTGCGTGTGTGAAAGTTACCAACCCCACACATGTGTAGTGCTGCAACATCATTTTGCTTTTGGCAGTCACTTTGACATCCAACACAGCTGTGTCCACACTGCCCACTGGGACGACGCGGACACACACACGTTTCTTCTTCGAAACGGAGGCCTCTGGACGGACAGACACACACACACACACACACACACACACACACACAGACATCAACAGCGAGTAAATAAGACATCAAATACCAGAAAAACATCAAATATCAGGGATGTGTGACACCTGTGTGTGCTTGCACTGCTATCTTTGCAAGGACCGATTGCAGCTTTCCACCATTGTAGTGAGGACATGTCTGCATTGTGAGGACATGTTGGCCAGTCCTCACTACTACTTGTTTGCAGGTTAAGATTAGAGTTAAATTTAAGTCAGGGTAAAGGATGGGCATTAAGTTGTGATGGTTTAGGGGCAAGAGAATTCATGATGTCAATAAAGTCTTGTAGAAAGACAAAAATGCGAGTGTGTACGTACTCACTTGCTTCGAGGTGCTCTGCTATATAGCAGTAACCGGGAGGAATAGACTCCTTGTCTGAGATCAGCTGAATGTCCGACACTACCATACCAGCTGTCAAGTTCTATAGAGAGAGAGAGACACAGTCCATTTATGGAAGACAGGGGGGACAAGTGCAATACACAAGTAATATGTCTCTCATATCATAGTTAAAAGTAAAGAAGTGTATCTGTGATCTGATCTCTCTCTCTCTGCTACCTTGCTGTAACAGAGGTAATATCCAGCTTTCATGGCAAAGCTGCGAGTAAAGTTCGCTGCCACTCCGTCTTCTGTGATGCTGATCTGCAGAGGGACAGAGAAAGAGAAGAGGTACATTTAGGAATACTGCATCTGACATCACTAACAACATGATAAATGGGCATGTCAGAAGGGAAGTACATTTGGCAAGTTGGGGCACAAAGAGAGCGCCGGACGTTTAGAAGTCTGGCTTTAGACTCAAAACTGGACTTCACTATTCTCCTTCAGGGTCTCTTTAGCAAGGCAGAGGTGAAAAATCACGGAAAAGCAAAGAGGCGGGAGAAATATTCTCCCAATGTGGAATGACAGTGAGTTAATGAAACACTTCACATTAGATGGCTCAATTAGCCATCTAATGTGAAGATGGCTCACATTAGATGTGGTCAATCTCATAAGAGATACGCTCACAACTCTCACCCAACGCTATAACGCTGTAACAGCAGAGATAAAAGTGATCTCAACACTAAGACGTTTGGCACACTGGAAAAAATGCCAGCGTGTTTGCTGGTTTATAGGTTTACATGCCGACCATGCATGACGAATGAATATAACATCAATCAGCATGTGCAAGGAGGCCTGTGTGTGCAACGTATTCAACAGAGACGTTCATGACATAGAATAGTCATAATTACACCATGTCTGAATAGAGACTAAATTCTATTCATTGTCCATCATCATTAAGTGTGCGGTTTTCTTTTCTTCTTTTTTTAACATGTCACACCTCTTTAAAAGAGTGCGTCATACCAGCAACGGGCTCAACCACAGCTCCTCACGACAGAAACAGTTTCCGTCCCTGCCGTGCTCAGAGAAGTTTCCTAAATCTCTCCTGAACAAGGACTCCTTGATAGAATTTATTTAGGCTAAGTTAGGAGAGTATTCTCAAAACGCTGTAATGCTTACAGCTCATCAACACACTCAAACTGCCCGCCAACAACATCTCACTTCACTCTAATGCTGCTGGATGTCGTGACAATTTTAACCCTGTAATAATGTACTTTGTTGTGGCACCACAGTATACCACAGTACATCACAGTACAGAATAAGTATTTCAGGTTGTCAGTTACTAAAGCAAGGAGGGGAAGATATATTGTAATTCTCACAACACTCGAGCAAACTGTTTGTGGTCACCGCGAAGTGAAATTTGGTACGTTTTTTTAAATGGTTTAACATTGTTACTCCAGTGGCAACAATGTACTATTGTATATGAAGAGTTGTATACAACATTAATCTCTGTATAAGTATATATACCAGTGTGAAATCTTTGGGGCAGGTGCCGGTGTTGGAGGTCCACGCCACCGCTGTAACTGGCCGGACTACCCTATGCTCCATCAAAGACATCTGAGGAAGAGAAAAGAGAACAGTAGAGTGAATAAGGAAGTCACATCTGGCTGCATCTGGAAGGGAAGACAACTATATATATATATATATATATAATATATATATAGTGGGGCAAAAAACTATTTAGTCAGCCACCAATTGTGCAAGTTCTCCCACTTAAAAAGATGAGAGAGGCCTGTAATTTTCATCATAGGTACACTTCAACTATGAGAGACAGAATGAGAAAAAAAAAATCCAGAAAATCACATTGTCTGATATTTAAAGAATTTATTTGCAAATTATGGTGGAAAATAAGTATTTGGTCAAAAACAAAAGTTCATCTCAATACTTTGTTATATACCCTTTGTTGGCAATGACAGAGGTCAAACGTTTTCTGTAAGTCTTCACAAGCTTTTCACACACTGTTGCTGGTATTTTGGCGCAGATCTCCTCTAGAGCAGTGATGTTTTGGGGCTGTCGCTGGGCAACACGGACTTTCAACTCCCTCCACAGATTTTCTATGGGGTTGAGATCTGGAGACTGGCTAGGCCACTCCAGGACCTTGAAATGCTTCTTACGAAGCCACTCCTTCGTTGCCCGGGCGGTGTGTTTGGGATCACTGTCATGCTGAAAGACCCAGCCACGCTTCATCTTCAATGCCCTTGCTGATGGAAGGAGGTTTCCACTCAAAATCTCACGATACATGGCCCCATTCATTCTTTCCTTTACACGGATCAGTCGTCCTGGTCCCCTTGCAGAAAAACAGCCCCAAAGCATGATGTTTCCACCCCCATGCTTCACAGTAGGTATGGTGTTCTTTGGATGCAACTCGGCATTCTTTCTCCTCCAAACACGACGAGTTGAGTTTTTACCAAAAGTTCTATTTTGGTTTCATCTGACCATATGACATTCTCCCAATCCTCTTCTGGATCATCCAAATGCTCTCTAGCAAACTTCAGACGGGCCTGGACATGTACTGGCTTAAGCAGGGGGACACGTCTGGCACTGCAGGATTTGAGTCCCTGGCGGCGTAGTGTGTTACTGATGGTAGCCTTTGTTACTTTGGTCCCAGCTCTCTGCAGGTCATTCACTAGGTCCCCCCGTGTGGTTCTGGGATTTTTGTTCACCGTTCTTGTGATCATTTTGACCCCACCGGGTGAGATCTTGCGTGGAGCCCCAGATCGAGGGAGACTATCAGTGGTCTTGTATGTCTTCCCTTTTCTAATAATTGCTCCCACAGTTGATTTCTTCACACCAAGCTGCTTACCTATTGCAGATTCAGTCTTCCCAGCCTGGTGCAGGTCTACAATTTTGTTTCTGGTGTCCTTTGACAGCTCTTTGGTCTTGGCCATAGTAGAGTTTGGAGTGTGACTGTTTGAGGTTGTGGACAGGTGTCTTTTATACTGATAACGAGTTCAAACAGGCGCCATTAATACAGGTAATGAGTGGAGGACAGAGGAGACTCTTAAAGAAGAAGTTACAGGTCTGTGAGAGCCAGAAATCTTGCTTGTTTGTAGGTGACCAAATACTTATTTTACCGAGGAATTTACCAATTAAATCATTAAAAATCCTACAATGTGATTTCCTGGATTCTTTCCCCCCATTCTGTCTCTCATAGTTGAAGTGTACCTATGATGGAAATTACAGGCATCTCTCATCTTTTTAAGTGGGAGAACTTGCACAATTGGTGGCTGACTAAATACTTTTTTGCCCCACTGTATATATATATATATATATATATATATATAGATATAGATAGAGATAGATATATATAGATATAGATAGATATATATATAGATATAGATAGATATATATAGATATATATAGATATAGATAGATATAGATATATAGATATAGATATATATATAGAGATATATATATATAGATATATATATATATAGATATATATATAGATATATATATAGATATATTTACTTCCCTACATCCTACTTGCTTACGTAATAGGCCGCTAATCGTCATTGTGTGAAGTCTGTTTGGTATCAGGGTGGGAAATCAACACCAGGTACATAACGTTGACACTTTAATTGCTTTACCAACAACTTTGACATTCGCGCTGGTATCATATACTTCTATATTTCCAGACAAGCTCACGTGTACTGTAATAGAGTTATGAATAAATAAAAAAAACTCGTATTAAAGTTAAATTCAGACGGGCAGTTATTTTGGAAGTTAACTTACATGACACGGCGAGTTTACTTTACAATAGCAGCCACTGTTCCATTGACAAAACTTCGCTGCATCTTGTTCAAAATGAGCTCACTCGCTTTTGTTCCGGGACTCGACTAATAAAAACATAAAAAAGTAAATACTTACTCTGTCTCTGTGCCCCCGTCTGTCTCTTCGGAGTGAAACGGTTTGGCACGCAAGCAACGTTTTAGTTAACAGCCGGAATTTCTTGGCGTTCTTCTTGTAAGCAGGAAGTACCGAATCCATTCTGACTCCAACTCCCGTCAGCCCACGGGGCAAGACGTCACCGTTAAATGCCGACTCGAGTCTGAACGCAAGATGGCAGCATTACAACAGTCACAGAGACAGTCTGTTGTCCAATTTCACGCCATACATGCATTAAACATGTTTTTTATGTTATTGCTAAACGTGTACCGGAACTGTTACACGTGATATTCTGCGGTTCTGCGGCGGTTTGTGTTGTTCGTGTCCCCAATTAACAAAGGACGAAATATAAACATTCAGCCTGTTTTGGCTCGTTCACAACAAACATACAGGCCACTGCAGATATAACTAGGTGTGGACAGAGGGGTGCTGAGAGAAGAATCGATTCTCATTTACATGAAAATGAGGGTGAGCAGGGCAGACTGGAGGAGGAGACGGGAGAGCGAGGGGAGGATAATGAAAAAGGGTAACAGGGAATGAGAGATAAAGAAGGGATGAATTGTTGGGAGCAGGGGGGGTTTAAAGGGCAAGGAGAAGATGTGTGACAAGACGTGGTGTTTAAAACCAGGCATGCACACACTACTGGTTTAATGGATAACACATCTTTTCTTTCTGAAAAGACTAAAACCAACAATGAATGCTACCACCATGTAGCCTTCGGTGTCGCATGTGTCCCCACAGCCTGGTGTGATTAATTGTTGAGCCAGACGACTGAAAGCACATTAATGAGAGAAAACATTGCACCGGCTGACATGTCCCTGCATTAATATTAACACGGGCACTGTAGAGTATCTTGAATCAATCCCACATACGCCGTCCCGCTGCTCAAATTAGATCAAAATCAGATTATCTTGAGTAACCGGGGTCATGATTTCTGGAAATTAACGTTGCTGTTGAGCTTTTCAAATGAAATGTTGGTGCTTTGAGCCCCACATGCCGATACAGTTCCATTATATTGAAGAGAAGGCAGACGTCTCCACGGCCGATGTCTCCAAAACAAGGCAACTCACACCAAAAACAATCTAGATTGATAAATAACACTAATGTAAGAGGGAAAATGTGTATTTTTCGGTGAACTGTTTAAGTAAATGCATTGGAAATGGTCCCCAACAAATACACTATTAAGCCTTCTCCTGACTTAATGGTGTTTAAAAATATGTACATTTTTGAGACCCTTTTAAAAGACGTTCATCTTCAGCAGGGACCACTGGGCATGGACCTTAGTGCCACAGAGAGGAAAGGGAAAAAAGCATTTAGGACTAACACATGGTTAATTTTCATCTTTTCATGGTGACAATGAGACCAATATAGAACGTCATCAGCCTTATTCTCGAAGGTGCTGTTTTAATATAAACACACATGCAATACAATTCACAACAGTATAGCAACAGTGGGGTTAAATCCACCTCTAACCCTCCCAAGGTGAATGATTCTAGGATATTTACATCTGTTCCGAGTAGTCAGTGAGCCCACAGTGAATAACCCATAACAATACCCAAGTCACCCTTATCCTTTGTTTATCATTTCCACCATGCAACATGGAGGCATACACATGAGGAATAAGCTCCTTTGATGGCTACAGACTATACATTCTCACAACAGACACTGCTCTTAATCAACTCGAACGTTGTGTGTGTGTGTGTGTGTGAAAATGAGAAAAAAAAGACACTCGACTGGAGCATCCAGAGGTGCTCGGGTCCCTGTTGGCATGGCAACATGCAGAGCAGACCACAGGGGGTGGTTGTAGGGGGGGGGGCAGGGCTGCAGCGGGTGGACTGTTCCATCTCGGTGAAAATAGAAAATCAGTGTTTATTCAGAGCATTAGCTTTATTGGCTGATTGGCCAATTAATGAGAACGAGCCAGCTGTAATCTGCTGAGACTGAAACAAAAGTGAGAAGAGGCAATGTGCGCCAATGTGTGTGCGTGCGTGTGCGTGTGCGTGTGTGTCTGAATGCCTGCACATCTGCGTGTCTGCTTGTTGGGGGTGCATGCAGCTGCCCGTGTGTGCGTGGTAGTAAATATGAGAGCGATAGACTGAGTGAGAGAGTAGGTTCAGACGCTCTGGTACTTCCTACTTTGGGGGGGGGGGGGGGGGGGGGGGTGGGTTTCATTCATCTTTTCCATCAAGTCAGCCTCCTGTCTAGAGTGACAGACACACATGCATTCAGCTCATGTGCAAACAAACACACACTGCAGTCTCAATAGAAAAACACTAAATATATATATATATATATATATATATATATATATATATAT